TATATATATTTATATATATATATATATATATATATATATATGCTTAAAAATTTGTGAACCCTTTAGAATTTTCTATATTTCTGCACAAATGTGACCTAAAACAATCAGATTTTCGCACATGTCCTGAAAGTAGAAAAAAAGAGTAGTATCATAGTTTGGGCCTGTTTTGCACCCACCTACATCACAGAGTTGAATCAGTTCTGTACTGAGGAAAGAGCTAAAATTCCTACAAGCCGTTGTGCAGGACTGATACGCAGTTACAAGAAACCTTTAGCTTCAGTTATTGCTCCAAATGGAGTCAGATCAATTTTCTTAATAAATAAATGACAAAGAAAATATTCTTGTCTCATTTGATTGATTAGGTTCTTTTGTCTACTTTCAGGACTTGTGCAAAAACCTGATGATGTTTTGGGTCATATTTATGGATAAATATAGAAAATTCTAAAGCAGCACTGTATGTATGTGACGAAAAGTGAAAGTGACATGTGGCCAAGTATGGTGACCCATACTTGGAATTAGTGCTCTGCATTTAACCCATCCAAAGTGCACATACACAGCAGTGAACACACACACCTCAGTCGTGGTATTGAAGGTGGAAGAGAGTGCTGTCACACACACCTCAGTCGTGGTATTGAAGGTGGAAGAGAGTGCTGTACATTCACTCCCCCCACCTACAATCCCTGCCGGTACGAGACTCAAACCCACAACCTTTGGGTTACGAGTCCGACTCTCTAACCATTAGGCCACGGCTTCCCGTGTGTGTGAGACACGTTTTATACTCATCCTACAGTTATAAGTACATTTATTCATTTTTATGGACCCTTATCACAGGCTGTGATGAAAAGAGACTGTTTCCAAAATCACTTTTCATATTGACAAATCACGTGAATGAATGCAAGTCGGTCTCAGGGGTTTCAATGTGTGGGGTGCGAGAGCATGTCAGGGAGGCTCAGAGTAACAATGAATTATTGATTACTAATTTGAATCAGTAAATTATAACGAAAACAATACCTTAAAAATGAAAGGAAGCAGGTTTTTGCGATCACATCATTTAAAACCGGTAAACTCCTGGAAAGTCCAAGGATCCAGTAAGCAAATTCAAACAGTAATTTAAAAATGGCACTAATGCAGAGAAAACACGGCCAATTTCACCGACACTACTTTTCCCACTTCAAGCACTGTGTGTGTGTATATATATATATATATATATATACATATATATACAGTGTATTGTTTAATTAATAATTAATTAAACGTTTTCAATACAAATAAGCAAAAGTCAAGCTGCCATACCAAACAGGACCACAAGGAGACGCCAAAGACCACTAAACCGCCTGTACTAATACTTTTTTCACTTCAAGCACTGTATAACACTAATTTAACAGTCAATCTGCATTGTCTCACCTTTTCTTGTTCCAGTGTCTCAATTGTTTCCTCTGGAACATTCCTCTGTCGCAAGAACTCAATTAGATCATCCATCCTGTAGACAAACATATGTCAGTTTTCATTCTATAAGGCTTCATCCAATTGACAAGTTTGATTACCAGTATTTACTGTTTACTGAGTGTTTAGCATTTGATGATTAACAAACGCGAAAGAAAGCACATCATCAAAACTTAGTAGCCTAATCGACCATTTATCCCTCAATGGGAACGACAACTAGGCCAATCGCCTGAGCCTCTCTCACGATACCGACGTAAAAGTTTATGATATGTTACAGTTTAACTTACTTTAAACAATGATCAGATGTTCTTATGAAGGCATACTTACTTTCAAAAACAGTTGATCCGGTCTTCATGATATGAACGTGAACGCCTCGCTTGTTGCCCGCCTGCGCCTCTGTGCACAGTGCGCATGCGTGGATTAAATGATAGAAACGTTCTCATTATCACGAGAAACTAAGTCATTATTATGAGAAACTAAGTCATTATTATGAGAAACTAAGTCATTATTATGAGAAACTAAGTCATTATGAGAAACTAAGTCATTATTATGAGAAACTAAGTCATTATTATGAGAAACTAAGTCATTATTATGAGAAACTAAGTCATTATTATGACAAAATAAGTCATTATTATGAGAAAGTTTCTCAATATAACGAGATACTAAGT